GGCCACCTCCCGCTCGTTGGCCACCAAGAACTTGTAGAAAAACCTGACCGCCGGGGCATGTGCACAGCCGTGAACACAACCAACAGGGTAGATATGACGCACTAGGCACCAGATTCGTTTCAGATTTGACAGGCGTTCTCAAGCCTCCCCGTTGCATTGGTACTTAGCAAGATAACGTGAACCACTGGCCACCTAGGTAAGAGCGCCGTACGTTTGAAGAAGGTACGGGTTTTCCTCACTTGTATTTCAGCATGGCATTCTGAGGGACCTGGAAATTCGTCATCGGTTTTCGAAACTGGTAGATTTTCTGAAGCAGGTACTCCCGGATTTTGGAGATGGACTTGACCTTTAGCTTCTCTAACACGTCGTTAACGTCATGGCATGACTTGGCCTCTGGAACAGATTGTTTTCCACAGGATCAGCACATCTGCTCAGACTTTGTGGGCAGCACACCCCAGCAAGATACGTACAAAGGGCTTCAAAACTGTGTCTTATTGCGCTTGTTGGGATATCGAAATCAACCCAGTTGCCCGAAAATTAAACCTGGTCAGCTACGAATGACCCGCATGCGGCATCAACTGCACGAGACAAAATCTGCCCGTTTTTTAACAGAAAAGGGAAACGCGACGCACGATGTCACGGCCCTTTTATCAAACGTCAGCGACACATTATTCATATAATATTATTGGAATGTCAGCGACATAGTGCATTGCCCGTATTAGCGTTCCAAAACCGTAGCACAACCGGAATTTTAACCCGTTCCCCACGTGTAAATCTAAGGCGCTAACCACCCGATCATTGCAACCCCGTGGCACTATCGCAAACCTAAGGCCATTCGGCCCCATGTGGGGCAGCTCGCGCGGTAAGGCAAGGGGCCAGACCTCTGAAGCTCTGCTCCTTCACGAAGCTCAGCTTCTGGTCGAGGGTGAACAGCTGCTCGAGGAACTCCCGCTCCGTCACCGGCGTCTCCATGATGTGCCTGAGACGTGACAGCCCGTCACACGCCGCAGTACACACACGCACACCGTGACAAGACGCTCCTTGAATATGAACACCACATGCAGGATCAAACTCACAGGAGTTTGAGTTACAGGAGTTTAAGTTACAGGAGTTACAGGAGTTAAAGTTGATCCCACCAAAGGTAAAATAACGCACCAGAGAAATAGACATCGATTGCCGCTCATATTTGACATTGCTTCAGTTTCAAACCAAACAAGCATTCTGCTAGATTTGTTGTTGGTATGACAATTACTTTTTAGTCCTTTACTGCCCATCGTCGATAGGAAAGCATGATCTTAGAGGACACAAATTTTTGATTACCTGTTTTTTTTTTGCTTGTCTAAAATTGATAAACGCCTGAATACGAAAAAAACTGAGATCCACGGCCTATCAGGCCAGGTGATCGCGGCAGACCCGGGGTCTGACCAGACCAGACCTGGCGCCCCAACAGCGGCCAGCCAGACCCAGCCGGGTCGGGCCGGGGTCAGAGCAGGCGCTGCTCACCTGATCATGGTCTCCGGGACCGTCATGTCGTCCACGAACTGGCTCAGCTGGCCGCGCACCGCCTGTCGGTTCTTGAGGCGCAGGTTCATGTCCACCGACTGCTGCTGCAGGTGCACGATCTCGCTGCTGATGCTGCCCAGGTCCGACTGGAACGTCTGCAGCATGTCCTCCATCCGCTGCCGACGCAGGGTCAGCGGTCAGAGGTTAGCGGTCAGAGGCAGCCGTCAAAGGTCAGCGGTCAGAGGTTAGCGGACAAAGGTCAGGAGCCAGCAGTCCGTGGTCAGAGGTTAGCAGTCACTGGTGAGAGACCAAGGGTCAGCAGTCATAAGTCGGAAGTCATAGGTCAGCAGTCAGCGGTCAGAGGTCAGAATTCAGCGGTCAGAGGTCGGCGGTCAGAGATCAGAGGTTAGCAGTCATAGATCAGTAGTCAGCGGCCAGAGATCAGCGGTCAGGGATCGGCGGCCAGAATTCAGCGGCCAGAGGTCAGCAGTCCCGGGTCGGTGGGCCTGCCAGTACAAAGATACGGACGTCGACGTGCACTCACTAATCTGGCACTCGCAACATCGCGAAACATCCTGCGTGCACGATGGCTCACGATACTGTGAGTTCGATGTCACGAAAATAGATCGTACATTAAGTATGGCGTCCCTGAAATGCAACTAATTTCTATACTGAGATACACGGGTTGGGTGTTGTTATCCGTAACAAACATAACTGGTAATTTTTCCACTTCAGAAAACTGCGTCCACCCGAACAAAAACCTGTGGTAGAGGTTATGACCCTCGTGACTTACGAAATTACATGCATCCATAAGCATGTTTCAACGTCAACCAAAAGGTTCTCAGCGCGCTCGAGGCTGTAAAGAGATGTAAGTTTCACGGATGGCTGCGAAATGGAGGCATGGACTCTTACCTCCAGGATCTGGTCACACGCAGTTATTTGGCCGTGCAGCTCGGTGATATTTCTGCTCTCTTTAATGTAGTCCTGGATTGATGCATTCTCCACCTGAAAAGCAAGTTAACGAAAATTAATAACTTGCCTGATTGTGGGTTCGAACAAGCTTCCTGTTCCATATTTATATTTACTGAACAATTTCTCTCCGGGCAGAGATGTGGTGCGGCCCCTCCGGCCGGTTTCCGAAGTCTTCGTAACTTTCCGATCCCACTTATTGCTGCGCAGTCCATAATAATATCTGTGTCACCTGAGTTTACCTTGGAAATTCTTGATCTACATCACGTTATGTCAATCCTATATATTTCTCTTATAGGCCTTCACCGTTAAACCATCGAAAGTCGGGGCTCCCGGTACCATCTTGGCACTGTGCACCTCATACTATCTTGCGGGGGTCTGTGAGGTAAATGTCACATGAGGTTGAACCTAGAGGTTGAGGTCACATTATGTCATCCCATCATGCAATCATAAACTGGCATGTGACATGCATCAGCATCACTCAAAACCACTGTCAGCCAGGATAAGTATTGAACATCACCCGACATCATTTTATGTAGACCTTTTGTATCACACAAGCAGCAGCAGACCTTGAAGTTGGATCAGGGTCTGGGACTGAATGTTTTTCCCTTTCACTTGATGCAACAATGCATGACTAATGCTCCTTTTTCCCTGAGATGGTGTCAGCTATCCCCAGTCATCTGTTACCACTGCGGTGCACCAATATCATGGTTGCACAGCCAGATTGGGAAGAGCCAAGGTCATGGCACATCATGTGATAACACCTTAAATTACCTTACTTCTACCCCTTTGAACTAGCTGGGGTCATGCTTCAAGCTGAACCACCTATAGTCTGAGGCATATGAAAATATATGCAGCTAAGACAGCCAGAAACAGCATGGCCTCAGTTGACCCGACTTGACTGCTTCATCATGTGCAAGCAAGATAAGGGAGTCACACAAAAACAGTTCTGTTGCAATGATTTTGGTAAGGACAGAGATTACATGCACAGTTACCAACCTGCTTCTGAATATTTGTCCGGGTATATGCAGCATGGAACTGGCAAATGCTTAATGTGAAAGGTGGAGAAGGTGTGAAAGATGTTGAAACTTCAGAAATACAATTTTAGTCCCAGTAAATGCTCACTCCTCCTGATCAAAATCCTACTGGCGCAGCAGCCTTCAGGGTACAACAGAGTTCAAGGAGGAATGTGGAAGCATTGGTTTAAGGAGGAATGTGGGAGCATTTTACACAAGGCAAAAATGGTAAGTATGAGGCAAATAACATTTTTCAAAGGACCCATCAAAAATATTTAAACTCATATGGTGGCCATTAATAAGAAGCCTGCAAGCCAGATGTGTGTTTAAGAGGCGAGAGCATTCCAAGTTTAAGTAGCTTGGGACGCCCAGCTTTATCAAAATATGGTATCTTTGCAACCAGACCACTTTGACTATTTTTTACCTCTCCTTTCCAATAAACATCAGCACCACAGACTTTGCTAACTGTGAAGAGGCACACAATGCCAATCAGCCTCCCACCCAGACTTCAGTGATCCAGTGCCATAGCAAAAGAAAAACAGCAAAAGTTGATAAGAAAACAAGTCCTATGTTTGCCAGTTAGATCACAGAGGTATGGATCAATCTGCACAGCTAGCTATGTATGCTCATGCCCAAATAATACACCTTAGCTTTCAGACATTTTGGGAGAAGTTAACCTTGGTACCAAGAGCAGATTAGCTCCTGACCTTAACTGAGATACACTGGGATTTTACAGCTGCACATCATACAGCTATTATGCTAGCTTATCATGATGAATATCTGTTCAATATTATTTTATTTGAACACCATGGTCACAGGCAGTGAACATGATTTCATTCAAGTTCATGTGGAAATGGCCAAACCCGTGGAAAGCCCATTTACAAGCACTGTTGTTGGTGGATCAGAGAGAAAATGCTACATATAAGCCCCTTGCCTACAACAGCACCATGTAGGATGAATGTTCAATTATATTGGCCAATATATACCTTTGCGGCTGCTTACGTACCTGCCTGAGTTTTTGCTCAACTTGTGTAGAGTACTGACGCAAATCGATACCACTTTCCAACGCTTCTTTAAGAGCAGCATTGTTTATTTGGTCTTGGTCCTCCATCTCGGTTCTCAAATGAGCTGCAGGATAAAGCCACGACAATAGATACCTGCAGAGATACAGCTGCAGTCCAAGAACACAATAGTCGCCTATCCACTGCTGTTGACAATGCTAACATTACACTACCAATCAGATGTAGCTTGAGCGCCATATCTGTAATGTTTAAACCAGGTAAGGTTTGATGACGTAAGACAAAGCCTGTTACCTATTACACAATAAAAGCAATAGGTGTATCATTTATTTGACAGATTTTAATGATTTTTAATTATGTTAGTTGAAAAGATAGAAAAATTTCGGGTACAATCGTGAATAACGTCATGTAGATGTCATTGGACTTGTAGACCATTTATCCATAACTCTGCCGCAGATTAGCCGGGTTTGCGTATTCTTGTTTTACGATTTACGGGAAGAGACGCTGCACCGCGCGTTTGGTCCGTGTTTGATTATTTTAAGTAAGTTATGTAGTTTTTGATGTCATGATTACATTTCCCGTCTTTTTTATTTTCTTTGTTACGCAATTTCGTTGCAGATTTGGTTCACGATTGTATGGTGTACTATCATTTTGATTTGTGCAATTTTTGTGTATGGGTGTGTGCCATGCTTGCAATAATGCAATGCCTTGCAGTTTAAATGACACTGAGAAGACAGTGGTGTTTGTGCAAATATTTAAATAGGAATATCACATTTCAAATGCATCATTACATTATAATACTTTTGTCACCCATTTAACACAAACATTGCATGTTGTAAGCTTCCTACATGATCATTGACCTGATAAGATTCCATGTGTGAAGACAGATTTATATTTTGGTGGGAAGAAGGGGGCACCCTGAAGCAAAAGACATGCCATAATTGTGTCTGTGCAGAAAGTGATTTAAAGAAAACATTGTTTTGGGTGGTTAGAGCTGCAAAAGTAGTCTCCAAACATGATATGATAGCATGATATTGGAGAGTCAGGCAGTTGTGTATTGGTCAGATATGGACACATATTTTTGGTGATAGATCTGTCTGGATGTGACAAGATGGGAGAGCAGGATGCTTCTAACCCTCACATTTCAAACTTATATGGAGTGTATGTGGGCTTGTTTCCTTAAGAGGAGGTTCTAAGTATTGTTTGGTGCAAAGTGCCTCAAATCTGCACTGCCTACTAAGGGGATTAAGATTGAAATATCTGTGACCAAGAACTCTGAGATGAAGGTCTCAAAATTTGGTTATGATTATGCCTATTTGGCTGGTAACTGGTGATGCGGGTCTGGTAAGGTTGATGTACCTATGCTGCTCTTTAATTACAGAGTAGCTATATTGTATGTACTCAGTGCTTGTTGGTGCTCTGAGCTTGATGCTATGATGTGTGCTGAAGTTGTTTTATCAGTATGGAACCAAATGTTATATCAGCTAGGGATTGTGAAATGGGAACAGGGCTGGCACAGCAGGCACTGCTCAGCATGGGTGCTGGTCCCAGAAATCCATGTAAACTAAATGTTAGAACAAATAGCATGCAGCTCCATTGCTGGAAAACTTTTAAACTGATGCAATGCACATAAGACTCAGGTATATAGGGCTGCAAATTGTCTGTCTAATCTTGCGATTTTGCAGGTCTGTCCCATCACCTGCCTGCAATGTCTTCCTGTGGAGATGTTGGTGAAGGTGTGAACACTGAAAAGGTTAGATTGTATTATTGCTGTGAGATTTTCTTGGTGGTCATTATCTAAATTGCTATGACCATGTCATGAAACAAGCTGCCACGATGTTCTGTTTGGTATCATCCTGTACAACCTTGTGATATGTGAATGTGACATGCTTTCCCATCACTAAATGCTGATTACACTGGGAAGCTTCATATTTGACTAAATCACCTTGACATTATCTGTGTGTGCACCTTACTCTGACCATGGTCTGGCGGCGACGTCTCGGCAGGCGGCGGCAGACGAGCCGGCGGCGGCGGTCGGCGGCCCGGAGCCGGCGCTGGCGGCGGCGGGCGGTCCTGAGCCGGCGCTGGCGGCGGCGGGTGGCCCCGAGCCGGCGCTACTGGCCGCGGGCGGCCCGGCCGTCTCTCAGCAGCGCCTGGTGGATGTTTGCCGGGGCCATGCTGAGCAGGTGGAGGACAACAAGCGGCTGCAGGTAGGAGGCGGGCGGGCGCGGGCGGGCTGACCACACTGTCCCCCGCTGTTTCACAGTCGTCATCAGGCTTACGGCCGAACCGGAGGCTTGCGGACTGATAGTGACATCCTGCTCGCATGCTTAAATGGCTAGATAATGACGGAGGAAAGTACATGTTGGCTAGATAGGGGAGCAGTGGCAAGTGTGCACTCATAAAAGCACTGCGTTGCCGCGACCGAACGACTTTGTCCGATTTTGCGTGTGCCGCGTAACGTCAGCACTTCATCAGTCAATCCATGCACACGTATTTACCTATCAAGTGTGCTGCAGCTTGGTGGCCCGCCTGACCGCGCTGTGCCGTGTCGCAGTCGTCGGTCCGCAAGCTGAAGCACCGGTTGGACCAGCTGCTGCGCGAGACGTCCGGCCTGGAGGTGGAGCAGGCGCGCGTGCTGCTCACGCGCAGCCAGCTGGAGGCACTCTGCCGGGAGCTGCAGACGCAGAACCGCGCCATCAAGGTATGCTTGTGCAGCCACGCCAGAACCGAACTGATACCCTGTCCTTTCTTTTCACATGTTGCATATCTTGGCTGTAAATCCCATAACATGATTCTTGGAAGTCCTTGCAATGTGGGTTAGGGCATGATGGTCGGTACAATTTTCGTGGCTGGCAGCGGTTCCGCCGGTGCAGCAACGTCTGCCACCTCGGCCTCCGGCTGCTCCCCGCGCGGATTCCCCCCCCCCCCCCCCCGCCACCGCTGCTGGCGGTGGGTGGCGCTGACGCCCGCCGCCGCTGCCGACAGGAGGAGAGCCAGGCCAAGGTGCGCGAGGAGAGCGAGCGGCGCCGCGCCGTAGCCGCCCAGTTCCAGACGACGCTGAACGACATATCGAGCCTGATTGCCGACAGCAGCGAGAAGAACGCCAAGCTCACCGACGAGAACGCCAGCATCTCCGGCAAGCTGGCGAAGCTCTGCCAGCAGTACGAGCAGAAGAACGCGGTACGACTGGACGCGCCGTGCCGTTTACGGGAGAAGGCGGGATGCGTGTGGCTTGTGAAGGCTTTGTCTGTCAAGGCCTCACATCGAAACAACGACCAATGGGTGTTTTCTTACGTATTTATTCGTGCTGAATTAATGCAGTGTTTGGCCCGTGGCAATTTTGGCCGTAAAACGACGACTGATCTTAGGAGTTGCTGATTTCCCCCCAATTTTGTCTTTTTGTCAGGTTTTCAGGCATAGGCCACCTTGTGGTATTCCTGTTTTTCAAGTGTGGAATCACCGTGGTAGTTGGTGGTAAGCTTTACATCGCATGGTATCCTCAACATGTACTGACTGGTTCGCAGATGGTTGCAGAAATGGTCAGGCAAAAGGAACTGAAGACTCAGTTGTCAGACGCCCAGGTTGCCAAAGTGCAGGCAGAAATGAGAAAGCAACGAGAAAAGTTCGCAGAAGAGAGGCGTAAGCTACAACAGGTATTCACTGTATTCCATCTCATCCGTGGATCCTAATCTTCGTTTTCTGTCATGGTGCAAAAGAAACTATGTGCTAAACTAAAAATTAAACTAACATACTAAACTAACGAGCAAGATTAAATGGAACTTATAGTAAATGAAGTGCAAAGGTAGCGAAGTAATCCAGAACTCGCTCGGAACTGTCATTTCTTGCGATTGTTCTTGTTTTTAACAGGTGCGATGACTATGTGTGAACAGTATGGCTCCATCGCTGACAAGCTGCCCAATCGTTCTTGCCTAACGACGTATTTGCCTACCGGACGTGGGCCTCAGTTGACCAGGGACGTGTGTCGGACGTGGGCTCGGTTGCTCAGGGACATGCGTCGTATGTTGGCCTCGGTTGACCAGTGTCGTGCGTCACACGTGGGCCTCGGTTGACCAGTGACGTGCGTCGTACGTGGGCCTCGGTTTGCCAGTGTCGTGCGTCGTACGTGGACCTCGGTTGCTCGGGGGCATACGTCGGACGTGGGCCTCGGTTGACTAGTGACGTGCGTCGGACGTGGGTCGATGTGACCTTGACGTGGCTGCCCCCAGGCCGCGACCACGTGCCAGGCCCGCTGCAAGCAGTTGGAGGCCACCGAGGCCCAGCTAAAGGCGCAGCTGGACGCCTGCGCCCAGCGCTTCGACGACGTCCAGGCTGCGCTGGCCCAGTCCAACACGGCCTTCGATACGTACAAGACCGACATCGACAAGGTAGGACTGTGGGCAATGCATTAGGATATGCTCTCGCTCACTGCTATATCCGCCCAGCTATATACTCCGCGAGGGATTGCCGCTATAGGCGGCGAGGGATTGCCGCTCCTGTTTCGAAGCAGTGGGCATCCCTGTGCATCTATCTGGGTTACTGTTTACCGACCCAGGATAATGCGGGTAGGAGGCTGTGAGACGGTCTGTCTGAGCAGTCCACACCGATCCTCCGTTAATCGGTCGGACATTCGGTGGGCCGGCGCCGTGTTCCCTCCGTAGTTTCTGCAGACTCGCCCGGCCCGCTTCAGATTTTAAGTCGCCTGGCCAAGGTCAATACCACGTGGCGCGTCTTCATCCAGGCACCACAACTAGGCCAGCGCTTCTTCTTTGCCTCCCTGGCCACGAGTGTGTCCTACACCCCGGTTTATCCCGTCAGTCGGTCCCGTACTTCCCTGCTCCCCGTCAAAAGTGGGCCTACGCCCTGGTGTACCCCGTCAGTTGGTCCCCTACCTCCCTGCTCCCCGTCACAAGTTAGGCCTACACCCCGGTGTACCCCGTCGGTCGGTCCCGTACCTCCTTGCTCCCCGTCACCAGTCAGGCCTACACCCCGGTGTATCCCGTCAGTCGGTCCCGTACTTCCGTGCTCCCCGTCACCAGTTAGGCCTACACTCCGGTGTACCCCTTAAGTCAGTCCCACACCTCCCTGCTCCCCATCACCAGAACAACCGGTCGCCATTAAAAATTGTTCCAAGCCCATGGAATGGATGCATAGGTGTAACCCACCCCGCCGTGGATAGTGGGGGAGGGAGGAAGGGGATCAGAAGGCAGGCGCTCTCACCAGCTGAGCCTCTGGGACGGACTATCCGCGTGGCGTCAGTCCTGCGCGGGTCCGTCGCCGTCGCTGGTCCGTCCCTCACGGCCGCGCGCCGCCGCCGCAGATGAAGAAGACGACGCGTCGACTGGAGAAGGAGAGCGCCAGCTGGCGACAGCGGTGCGCCGTCAACAGCCAGCAGCTGCTGCAGCTGGCCCAGCAGAAGCAGGCCAGCGACGCCGAGCTGGCATCGCAGCGGCGCCGCCTCGACACGCTGCAGCGGCTCTGCCTCGCCCTGGAGGGCCGGGCGACCGCCTCAGGTCAGTAGACTGCCGCGCTGGGGTGGCGGCGGGTGCGGTGGCTCAGCGGTGTATGGGCTGTGTGTGATGTGTGCAGCTTGGAGGCAGTTGGGTGTCATATGTTTTCCGACGTAATTCCTCTGGGAAGGAGCGAAAGTTGTTTTAAAAGGAGCTCTGATATTCTCTCACGAATGCAGAAAGGCGAAGGTGCGGCCACTAAAGCATTTTGTTCCTCGATTTTCCCCCCGACCTCAATCACTAAGTAAGTCAGACAAATGCTACAACTTTCCACGTAAGCTATTAACAGGACCTTCTCGTAGACATCATCCAGTGCAATGCTACACCATATTCACATGAAATCCCCGGTCTGCCGTGTCTGTTGTTGAAATATCCGCCCGTCCCCTGCGGTTGTGATTTAGTGATGATAACAGTGAGGCTGCCGCCCGTTCTCAGTTTGTGCGGTGTGGGCGTCATGCGATGGGGGTTCTTAGTGTGTGCGGTGTAGGCATCATGTGATGAGGGTTCTCAGTGTGTGCGGTGTGGGCGTCATGTGATGGGGATTCTCAGTGTGTGCGGTGTGGACGTCATGTGATGAGGGTTCTCAGTGTGTGCGGTGAGGGCATCATGTGATGAGGGTTCTCAGTGTGTGCGGTGTGGGCGTCATGTGATGGGGATTCTCAGTGTTTGCGGTGTGGGCGTCATGTGATGAGGGTTCTCAGTGTTTGCGGTGTGGGCGTCATGTGATGAGGGTTCTCAGTGTTTGCGGTTTGGGCATCACGTGATGAGGGTTCTCAGTGTGTGCGGTGTGGGCGTCATGTGATGAGGGTTCTCAGTGTGTGCGGTGTGGGCGTCATGTGATGGGGATTCTCAGTGTGTGCGGTGTGGCCGTCATGTGATGAGGGTTCTCAGTGTGTGCGGTGTGGGCGTCATGTGATGGGGGTTCTCAGTGTGTGCGGTGTGGCCGTCATGTGATGAGGGTTCTCAGTGTGTGTGGTGTGGGCGCCATGTGATGGGGATTCTCAGTGTGTGCGGTGTGGGCGTCATGTGATGAGGGTTCTCATTGTGTGTGGTGTGGGCGTCATGTGATGAGGGTTCTCAGTGTATGCGGTGTTGGTGTCATGTGATGGGAGTTCTCAGTGTCTCTGCGATGTACGTGTAAGCCGTATTGTGTCTGTGGCCCTCGCGTCAGTACGCATGCGCGCAGTCTGCGATGTGCGCTGTCGGTGTGGTGGCCGTGGCCTGCGGCCCTCTGACTCAGCCGTGTGGTGTGTTTGTGACGGCAGGGCGGCCGCTGCCGGAGGAATTGTGCTCACAGTCCGCCGTCGACTCCGCGGTGGACGACGCCGCCGTCTCGTCGTCCGATCTGGCCGGCGGCGGCGACGCGGCGCCGGCGGCGTCCTCGAGCCACGGGGACACGGCGCCGGCTTCGTCCTCAAGTGGCGGGGATGCGGCGTCAACCCCTTCCTCTAACGGCGGGGACGCGACGTCAGCACCGTCCTCAAACGGCAGGGACGCGGCGTCCGCCCCTTCCTCAAACGGCGGGGACGCGGATTCGGCACCGTTCTCAAACGGCGGAGACGCAGCGTCCACCCCTTCCTCAAACGGCGTGGGCGCAGCGCTGACCCCTTCCTCAAACGGCGGGAACACAGCGTTAGCACCGTCCTCAAACGGCGGGGGCTCGGCGTCGACCCCCTCCTCAAAGGGCGGGAACACGGCACCACCCCCGACCTCAAACGTCGAGGAGCGGCCGCCGGACCAGCCGTCAAGTGGCGAGGTCGAGCTTCCCCGCCGGCCCGCCGAGACCGAGCCGACCGTCCAGTCTCCCGCTGGGGAAGAAGGGCAGCCGGTCCAGCCGTCAAAGGGCGGAGGCAACTCTTCAGCCTGTGAGGAGGAGGTCCAGTCCTCACAAGAGGACGTGGCGCCTGCTGAGAGCTCCGGGACCGCCTCTTCGGCCGCCCTTTGAGGTGCCGTCGGCGGCCGGGCCAGAGCGTAGACTGATCCTGTACAAAGTGTGCTGTGACTGAGGTTTTTACCTACCAGCGTCAGGGCGACGGCGAGACCCACTGCGCCACGCGCCGCAGTTTTGAGTCTGTCGCTTTAACGACTCCCCCGATGGATTGAACCATCCGAGAAATACATTTCTCATTTCTGAACAGTTTATTCGGCCATGCTCTACACAGCGCTAATGACTACACACACTGACGGATGAAAGCACAGCATTTCTCGCACCCATTTGGCATCGAATTAAGCTTACGCTCGCTCACGGGGACAGATGGCATCACTTGCTCGCGCGTCTTTTCTTGCTTGTACCATTAAACAGCAGCGGACCGACGTTCAACATCTGCTCACCGCGCACGGGCCCGGTGAACCAACCACCTGTGGTGGTGCGGTACGGACGCCAGCTTGCGAATGAGCCCGATGTCTGCTCCCAGCCGGCCGTGGGTCCGCAATACTCTACACCCCGTGGTGCCGGCTACAACCCGCTGGCTACTCTCGGAGACACCGAGCCTGGCTCCGCGTCAGGCTCCCCAGGCTATTCGCTCGCGTGCGTCTGCCCACCCGTAACGGTTCGGAGAGCGGGGGCAGGGAGGGGGACTGAGCGCGGCCCACCGGGCACGCATCATGCGTGGGTGCCGGACGCGGCGCCGGCTGTTTAAGGCGGCCAGCCGGGCTGTCGGGCGCCAGGCGCCATGGCGCACTGCTGGCCGTCCGCTGGCGCCGCGTCAGCCCGTGTACCGCTTCCGCTTACCGATCCTGGCGCCAAACTCGGGCTCGTCCGGCCGGCCGTGGCTCGGCTTGAACGGGGGAAAGGTAAAGGCAGGGCGTCGCGTGGTCCTCCCCGCCTCAGGCCTCGACTCGGTCCGCGCCGGCGGCGGGTCGCGGCTCGCCTCTGGCCGCCGCGTCCGACGCGCTTCCCCCGACCGCGGCCGCGTGTCGGGCGGGTCCGCCCTCGTGCCCGTCTCGGCCTCCTCCAGCCTGGCGTCCTGCGCCGGCGACGGCGGCCGCTCCAGCCTCGCGTCCTGCTGTGGCTTGCGGGGCTCCTCCGGCCGCTTCCGGCGTCTCACCTTCCGCAGCCGGCGCCGCACCTTCACGCGGCGCCGGGCGGTCCGCGCCGGCGCCGGTGGCGCCTCCTTCGCAGCCCGCGGCGGCACCGGCACGCTCGTGGTCACCGGGAAGTAGGGTCCGCTGAGTGACGGCGCAGCCGGCTCGCCGCCAGAGGACGCTCGAGCGGGCGGTGGCCGCTCGGGACGGGCGTCGGGGACCTGGTCGCGGTGAGGACGGCCATGGCCGTTAGCGTGCGCAGGCGCCGTGTCCTGCTGCCGATGGGGAGGTGCTATGTACCGCTCAGGGTGGGGCAGCACGGGCAGCTGGTCAGTATCTTCAAGTAAAACGCCGCTCTCGTCTTCTAGTGAGTTCGTCTGCGCCTCAGGACGCTGGGCGTCGTAATGCTCTTTTCTTCCGGATCGCAAACCGCCCTCGGTGTGCCCTGGGACACGGCGTTCTTCTGGCCGGTGCGGCGCACGCACTGCACCAAGCTGTGCCCCCGGGCGCTCCTCACTCTCAGCAGGTGAGTGTGCGGATACAGTGCGCTTCTCCTCGCCCTTGGTGGCGGGCTGGCGTGCTCCGGAGACGGGCCGCTCGCTCCCTGCGACGGTCGGCGGCGCCGGCAGCGGCGTGACTGGCTGCGCTGTCTGCGGACCGGCTGTGCTGCTGTAGGGACTGGGGCGCAGCGAGCTGCTGTAGGGCCTGGGGCGTGGTGAGCTACTGTAGGGCCTGGGGCGTGGTGAGCTACTGTAGGGCCTGGGGCGCGGCGAGCTGCTGTAGGGCCGGGGGTACGGACTGGAACTGTACGGTCGCTGCGATGGACTAGGGCTGTAAGTCACTCTGTGGGGACTAACGCCGTAAGGCCGAGGAGACGGGCTGGAATAGTGGGGTCCTGGAGATGGAGTTGAACTGTGCGGCCTTGGAGATGAGCTTAAGGTATAGGGTCGTGGTGGTGGACTGGAACTGTAAGGACGAGGCGATGGACTGGAACTGTAGGGCCGATGAGGTGGGCTGGGGCTGTAGGGCCGTGGGGATGGGCTAGAGCTGTAGGGCCGCTGAGATGGACCGGACTTGTAGGGCCTCGGGGATTGATCAGAGCTGTTCGAAGATTGATGCTTAGTTGAGCTATATGGTCTAGGCGCTCCAATGTCGTTGTAGTTCCGTGTGGATGACGTCCTGTAAGTTCGTGGATAGGACCTAGGCTTGTAAGGCCGCGGGGAAGGTGTAGTATAGGGCCGCGAGGCTGGTGTGCTATAGGGCCGTGGTCTCGGTGTACTGTAGGGTCGCGGGCTCGGCGTACTGTAAGGCCGCGGGCTCGGCGTATTGTAGGGCCGCGGTGCCGGTGTGCTGTAGGGTCGCGGCCTTGGCGTACTGTAGGGCCGCGGGCTTGGCGTACTGTAGGGCCGCGGGGTTGGCGTGCTGTAGGGCTGCGGGGTTGGCGTGCTGTCATGACTGGGAGCCTCTCCGGAGCCGTGGTGGACGTCGGGCGGCGCCGCGGTCCCCAAATGGGCGACGTGGGGCCCCGGCGTGGTGCTCACCGCCGGCGGAGACCGCGACTCGCCCCCCGCCGCCGCCGACGCCGCCGCCGGGCGCCGCGTGCCGATCAGGTGGCCAGATGCAGTGTAAGTGCGCGGCACGGCCAGCCAGCGACCCCGCCGCGGCGCGCCGCCGTACCTGCGTCCGTGCCGGTACCGGTACGGCGCCCGTGCCGGCTGACCGCGCTCCTCCGGCGGCGGTCGTCGCTCTGGCGCCGGCGGCCGTCTCTCCGGTGCTGGCGGCCGTCTCTCCGGCGCCGGCGGCCGTCTCGTCGGCACCGGCGGCCGTCTCTCCGGTGCTGGCGGCCATCTCTCCGGTGCTGGCGGCCGTCTCGTCGGCACCGGCGGCCGTCTCTCCGGTGCTGGCGGCCGTCTCTCCGCTGGCGACGGTCGTCGCTCCGGCGCCGGCGGCCGCGTCTGGACGGAGTCCCCGGCGGGATGACCAGCGTCCGGGGGCGGCACCTCGTGACCAGCACCGCTCTGATCCGGCCGGTCGTCTGGCGGCGGGGCGCTGTAGCCGCGCCCCCGCTCCTCAGCCGGCGGCGGCGGCCGCCGTGGCTCCTCCTCGGGCCTCCTCACTGGCGCCGCCTCCAGCCCCCGCTGGGAAGGCGGCCTCCTGTCCGAGGTTCCGCGCTGCCTGCCGCGCAGCCAGGTCCCGTCCACCTCCTCCTCCGGCTCGTCACTGCCGTACAGCCGGTCGTTGACGTAGTGGTAGCTGTCCGAGTGATGACACTCGACGCTGTACCACCAGTCGCACACCAGGTGCTGCTGGTTGAACACGGTGCCCTTGTTGCACAGGAACGACTGCTGCACTTGCTGTGGCGTGCAGTAGTGCCACACCTGTGTCGAGGGGGAAGGTTCGGGTGCTGTATCAGTGGCGTACAGAGCAGGAGCAACATGAACACAAAACTGATGCATTTTGCTGACAAGCGCCAGCCAAATCATGCATCACACCTATGCAGCGCGGTCGTTTGATTCCGGGTGTTTGCCTGGGCAGACACGACAGTCGGAGAAGCCACACGACCATTCGCAGTCGACACTCCCCCAGCTCCAGTCGCTGTATATTCCAGCTACCAATAGAGCGCCAGGACCCAGGGAGCCCGACTAACCCTGTCCGCATCAGCTGCGCTTCCACCCCGCCCGGCCACCGCTAACCGCCCGCGGGCGGTTCGCGGTGTATCGTCTACCACGTGCCACGTGTTCAGACCGCGTGATTGCGGCGTCTTCCAACGCGGCACCCTTGATGACGGTCTGGGTAGTGTTTCAATTTACAGTTCAGTGGACTGGTGTCTGCGTAGATTGTGTCAGACAACGCTGCCATATGTAATGGCTTTAAATTAGTCATAGCTGTTTAGTCGGAAATGAAATACTTTCTTCATAAGGACACCAAACCTACCAAAGGTGGTCTATGTCTGGCTCTACTTTCGACGCGTTTCCTAATACCCACATTGCGCGCCACGCACTCGCCCTGTTGATTTGTTCATAGCTAATACACTGTCCTCCTCCTTTTCCTTCCCTGCCCGGCTCCCTTCAAACCGCTCGCCCCGCCCACCGGTCAACCGCGGCGGTCGCAGTAAGTGGGGCTCCCTTCCATCACCTCGGCCGTCGCGGCAGCGGCGCGCCGTTGCCCAATGTCGCGTCCAGCCTGACGTCGTCGAGACGCGCCCCACCGGCGCGATCGCCCGTGACCCAACGCCGCCTGCTGGCTACCTTTGTACCGGCGGCCGCATTGAGCGGTCGCGCATCGCGTAACGCCGCGCGCCGGAGCGTGACGCGTGACGTAACGGGCGGCGCGGCTCACCTGGCAGCGCGTCTCCATGTCGGCGTAGAAGCCGGCTGGCCGGTCGCGGCAGCTGAAGCTGGTGCGCGGGATGTGCTGCAGCGTCGGGTAGTCGCGGCCGGCGGCGCCCTTGATGCAGTCGCCGTCCGGGTCCTGTTCGGTGCGCGGGCAGCCGGCCGGCTCCGGCTCCGGGGCCAGGCGGGCCGCCGCAGCCGGCGGGCCGCGGTACAGCGGCTCGCGCTCGCTCCGGTACCGGCTGTCCGGGGCGCCGGCGCTGCGGTACCGCCGCGCCGGTTCCGGCTCGGCTTTGTAGCGCGGCTCCGGCTCGGCTCTGTACCCCGGCTCCGGCTCTGGTCTGTACCCCGGCTCCGACTCGGCTTCGTTCCGCGGCTCCGGCTCCGGTCTGTACCGCGGCTCCGACTCTGGCCTGTATCGCAGCTCCTGTCCGCGCTTCTTCAGGTGCCGGCTCGACATGAGATGGTTGGTGGGGCGCCGTCGCCTCATCGGGCGTTCCCGGCCGTTACGCCCCTCTCCCTCCGTTCTGCCCCTCTCCCCCGGCACCGGCCGAGGCTGGCGGCGTCGTTGCGCGGCCCCGTTGCGAAGACTCCAGTCCTGCGCCGCATCCTGCGCTGGCAGGCCGGCGGGCTGGCGCCACCCGGCACTGCCGTCCGGTCGCTCCGCGCGGAAGTAGATGGACGATTCCACCGCCTCCTGGTCCTGCGGGCGCCCGGCGCGACGTGGCGTTCTCAGGGCAGCGGCGGCGGGGCGGCTCCGTTCGCGTGCTGGCCCATGTCTCTGTCCGACACTCCTGCCGCGTCGGTTAGCAGGGTCAATTCGTCGATCGCGAATCGGGTCCGGCTCGCCGCCGGCGCCCCGGCGTCCGCGGCCTCTGTCGTCTGTCCACTCCGGCTGCTCCTCGTCGTCCCCCACGTAAAGCATCCGCGGGCTGAAGTACATCTGGCTGGAGTACTCGTGCAGCGGCACCGGCGGCTGGCCGGGGCTCACCGCGCGGTCCTCCTCCCTTCCGCCGGCGGCTCGGCCTGCCACCGGGCCGCCGCCGCCGTGGCGCCGCCCGCCGGTGACCGCAGGCACCACGGCCGGCGGGTGTGCCGGCAGCGGCGGCAGTAGGCGGGCCACGCGGACTTGGTCCAGCGCCGGCCGGCCGCCGACCACGCGCAGGTGGTACACGGCGTCCGACTGCTCCGTGTCGCCGCGTGCCGCCGAGAGCGCCGACATCAGAGCTGAGGATGGCAGGCGCGGTCAGCCACAGCTCAGAGCAGACATCAGAGCTGAGGACACAGGTACGGTCAGCCGCGGCTCAGAGCAGACAGAGCTGGTGCTGGAGAGGTGCCAGAGCGAGGCCTAGAGCAGACATCAGAGCTGATGACGCAGAAGTGCCAGAGCGAGATGTGCTGCCTGTCGGGTGACATCAGGCGGTCTCAAGTGGTTCGTGATTATCGGCCGTTGAATGAGAAAATACATTCATTTCGGACTCATTCTGGCAAGTGGCACTGTTTCTCGCATCCATTTGTATCCAGCAACTTACGTCGACTTGTGTTCGGAAATGTATTCATTTTCTCAAATAATCATGGATGGAAAAGTTTCGTGTGGCCGAGATTGCGATCCACGGAGTAATTACAACACAAATCAATCGTCATTACGAGCTTCCATCGGATTTGGTCTTTTAAAATATGGTACAGCCAGATGCGGGGCAAGTGGCGTGGCAAGGGGGGGGGGGGGGGTTCGCCGCTGTAAGTGTGACGGAAGCCTCTGGAACCGAAGGCTCATCGATATTTGCCAGTTAAAGAGACACCTGCAGGGTTTATAAGACATATTAACACGATTCCCCAAAGCATCCCAATAGGATCCCAAGTCTTAAGAGGGCCCTGGAATCTGCGACCGGGCCCCAAGCAACAAAGACGGAGGAAAGGCCCCCCTGGCTGAAAGGGCCTCCTACGGCTAGAGTTGGTCCCTTCTGCGGAAATTCCTGGTTGCGCCGCCGCGCTGGGCCGCTGGATGTACTGGACGGATAATATCAAAACTGGGACTGGCGAAAATTCAGATCGGAAAAAGTTGATGATTGCTGATAACAATGACGTAGAATTAAGACCGCCAATGATAAAGGCACGCCACCCTTCGGTCGCTAACCAGAAATAAGCAATGTGCTGTTGGTGACTCACTCCAACCGGCTTGTCAGCGGAGCGATCACTGGCAGGTATTGCGGTGAATGAGAGTGGCGGGAGGGCGGGATATTCTTGACAACACATTGGGGAAACATTGGGTAGTCTGAGGTTAACCAGCACGCGCGTTGCATTTGACCCATCCTGATATTACAGCGTACGGGCGCTGAGCCGGCGTGGGACTGGTGGCCGGTAGGCCGTCACTTTGACCGCGCTTTATAAGCGTGTTTGTTCCTAATTTCGGCGCTGCTGCCGGGAGAGATCCATTATTCCGAAACCGGCATCGCCACTTCGGTGCGTGGCGTGACTGAAGCATGTCGGAGCTCTCCAACCAAATCTCCGTCATCGGCATTTGATGGCTCGGTTTCTGTAACTTCCAGCGCTCCCTCTCACGGGCCAAACGCAATTACCCACTCGTGCTATTGAGACACGCGTTCACGAAATCCATCACTCTGAGACATAAAGTAGCCTTCCCTAAATTAAGTTACCACTGGTCGGCCTGGCTGGTCCCACCATGCATGCGTTCAGTCACATTTGGAGACTGCTGTGTCGCTCCAATGGGAAGGTTTGGTCGCACACCCGCACCTGCGTTACGGCAGTGTCGATACTAGCAGCGCCGAGCTACCGTTCTCGAGTGCAGGCAGAATAAAGCGCCATTGTGAAGCGAACTGCCGTCGCTGACATTTTTCACTTTGACTTAAAGTCGTTGGCATTCAAAAGGCAACTAGCAAAAGAAGCATACTGTTGGTAATCGTGATTTAAGACTTTCCAATTGCTACATTTTTCCAAATGGGTTATGATGATAAATCACTGCGAACAGAGTAGAAACAGCATAATCAGGCACATATCATTCTTTATAATGTCACAGGCTCCATCCCCCTCGGGCCACGTGCTGC